GCTTTCTCCTCCTTTCTTAAGGCCATTTTCTCCTTCCACGCCTGAATTCTTGTCTTCTCTGGCTTCTGCGCAAGTTTAGCTTCAAGCTTTTGTGTCACTGCAGCTTTCTTACTCATAGCCATTGCAGCTTTACGTTGGTATTCCTCTGCCTCTCCACTTTTTCCTTGCATCTTCAGCCACAGAGACTTAGATCTGATTTGTGCCTTTAGAATTCCCTCATCTAATGGGTTTCCCATGTTTTGTAAAGAGTGCAACTGGTCCGCAATAGTCTTCTCTACACCTGCAAATTGCGAACCAAGTTCAACTGTAATGCGAGCACTGCGTTTGGCGGCCTCAAGAGTCATATCTCTCGCTGCATTAGTAAGCTGAGCGGTGATTGATGACGCTCGCTCGAGAGCTTGGCGTTTGGCTTCGTCGATATTGGCGAGTTTCGACTGGGAAGATTGGCGTACATCTTTGAGAACCTTCTCAGCAGCGGCGCGAACATCCGCAAGAGTTTGACCATCAGCGATAACAGTATCATCCTTGAAGAATGTGTAAAATCTGTCCAAAACATCTTGCATGGCTTGAAGAGAATTGGTTCCAAAATCAACTTGGAAGGTCTCGTTGATGCGTGGCTTCTTGGTGGTAATAATCGAAATGTTGAGAATTCCATGAGCCTCCTTCTTTGGAATTAATAATACAATCCCATCGCTTGAACTAAAGGCACGCTCCGTATCGACTGTAGTATTACCCCTAGTGATGTTGATTGACATTGCCAATTTGGTGAGCCAGTTAAGCTTCATCGCCCGTGGGATTCGAATCAAAACTTCTCTGTCTCCCATAATCTCCGCTACACAGGAACTACACTTGCTTTCTGATTTGGACTTTTGTTGTTGGGCGTGTGTAAGTTTCGAAAAGTCTACTTGAGGTTTTGAAAGTCCGTTCGGGGGCGACGACGGTACAACGGAAGGAGTTGAAGTAAGAGTGGCTTGAGTTGCAGAGTGATTGGTCGCAAATGGTACTGATGTTGGAGTTATGGGGCCCGCTGACATAGTTTTGCTGTTTATAGAGATTGCCGGCTGGTTATAAAATGGATAGGGCGAAAGGCTGGAGGTGAAAATGGCAGTCAGTACGCTCAGGATGAGCAAACCAAATGGAAGTAGAGATCTCCACTCCGCTAAGTAACGGGACCATTCTGTATTGACTGGTTTCTCTCGATTCGCAGGAATCGTATAGGAACCAAGATTCTTGACAACACTAGGGGAACTTGCAGGCTCGTGTAGACCGGTCAAGTAGGCAAGATTTCTGTTCATTTGTCTAGCATCGATGTTCAAGAAAGACGTAAGATCTATTGGTAAACGTTGATGGATGATGCTTCCTCTGCCAGTTGTCTCGCGGGATTCTAAACACATATGAATAGAATGTTGATCTAAAGACATGCATTGAGCTTTGTTCAGTAATTGCTTGTGTGAGATAACGATCGATGGTATGGTATGACGACTCATGAACTTTCTGGCAATAGTTCTTGTGCGTCGTGCTTGTATATCGTCACTATCAGAACAGTAGAATATTGCCACATGTGGTAATTCCCACTCCGGCTCAACAATAAAGTGATCTCTCTCTGGGACAGAATGGTAGCTGTAGTGATCCTCGAGATTTAACTTAATGACATCTGGTTTTTGTGGTTGATCTTCGAATTCAAGGGTTTGAGCAGACAAACAGTCATCAACCTTGATTTGGTAACCAGACGAGTGCATGAGTTCGATTTCCGGTGTTTTCTCCGAGCCAAAAGCAGATACAGGCACCACATTGTATATCTGAGATGAGTTTCGACCTGAACGCTCTTGGCCTTCGACAGAAGCAGTGACTGAGCTTGCAATCTTGTGTATGATATCTTGTTTTGCAGAGTGGCTGCCTACATAGAGAATGCGGAGTGGGTCTTTAGTCGATAAACCATGCTTGGTCATCGTTTGTCGAATTGTAAGAATCAATTGACTGGGCGGATTTTGCATGTTCAAATCTCTTACGGAAGCGGCAGTTTGTTCTTCGGTGAACTCTGCCACTGTATGTTTGACTGATACATTCTCGGCCCCAAGGCTACCAAATGGTTCTTCAAATTCGATGGATTGTGAGAGCGGGGTATCGGAATCGTCATGCAAGACAGCAGAATTTCGACCGATGGTAGGATTATTGAAAGAATTATTGATCGAGTTATCCAAACCAAAAGCAGGAATGGAGGAATCGTGTGTGTATTGATCCCCACTTTCATCACTATTCTCAGTATCTGCAAGGCTCTGCATATCGTCAGGACGACCAAATTCCACAGAAGCTATCGACTCGGTGGCATTCTCATCATGGCTCTCATCATCTGTATCGACAAACTCATAAGTAGATTCGGAGAGGTGACTTTCATCAGATGGGGACTCGCTGAGGGTCGACATATTGTTGTTGGAAGATTGGGTTTCGACCCAAGTAGTTACTCTCGTATCGAGAGACGGAGTCGGGAATCGAAAGTCGTTGGAATGTTCTTTGGGATTTGGAGATGTCAAATCTAGAGGCGGGAGTCCGCTGGATGACTCCATGTTATTAGCTTTTACGATATTATACCGGAACACCAATCTCGACAAAATGGTACGTGAAAGAAGGGCAATGTGAATGAAGGTGAGGGAGGCCGAATGAGTAGCTTTCAAGGACACGGGTAAATAACAAAGTCGACAAGAAGAAGAGGAAGAAGATGACGAGGAAGGAAGAAAGAGGGAAAGTCCTACTTCTTATTAATCTGAGCTTGATTAAGGTAACGGATCCCCGAATTTAAATTTCTATGGAGAAAGTACACCGAGTGCCGTAGAATAATAATGGGGAGCAAGAAAGTGGGAGGAGTTAATTAACTTGGGAGCTTTTAGTACTTGCCGAATCGTTTGCCTATTGGCAAATCGAGGCAGCCCGGGCTTTTGGTTGACCGTAGAGATGGGCAGGGTGATCAGTTTAAGTTTTGGAGGGTGAAATGCTATCAAGATGGGATCAAGAGGTATTGTATGATGGTAAAATTCATGAAGTTTTTTGTGTCGCACCTCGTACCAAACATGCACGATGTCTTTCTTGAGAGGAAAGATTTTTGCTGTAATGGTGTTGTTGAGTTGAATACAAGACGAAGGCGGCAGGTTTATCTCGTTATGATGGATTTTGGACTGATTAGGTGAGACCCACTAGTGTCAATGCGGGGTACCCTTATATCCTTATTACAGCTTTTATATACGTCGTAATACTTCCGTACGTATGTATGTAGGTATGGTAAATGTGGTATGTGCCCAAGCTTTTTGGGTGGTTATCGTATATTGCCCAGGTGGATTACGATAAGCAGAATTTACTAGGTAACCTTAGATAGTTAAATCCGTATAATACACGAATTATAAAGAATTATACCGATTCATTCATCATTTTGTCTCTCTATCAATCATCTATCCTTTCTTCACTTTGCTCTACTTTATTTCACTTCACTTCACTCACTCATCAATCACCTCACATCTGTGCTCCAATGATTCATATCCATATCCATTCATATCCATTTGTAAGGCTACACAGTATGTTACATTATCCATCACATCACAAACACACGTCATCTAGCCTGGGTATGAGCGTGTTAGATAAGATGCCATCTATCTGGGTATCTATCTATATTCTACCTACTAGGTATGTTTTATGTTCACTTCTACTATTGATTTAGAATACATCTCAAAATCTCACCTATATAATAAAAGGAGCAAAGGATAATTAATCGAAGATACTACTTACTGCAAGCTTATATACCTAGATAGGTATCTCATAAATCAGAATGCATTATCGAACAATAATAGACCAGTACTACCTACTAGGTACCGACTCACAGATACTTTTACTCTCCCAAAACGTCAGTACAAGTCAATCTTCCAAGGTTCCCTGTCTTTCCCAACTACCCTCCTCGAACCAGTCATTCTCAATTATAACCTACCAACCAGTCATCCTCAACTACAACCGACGAGTCTCCTACATATCAGTGGGTCCTTCGGAACATACATGAACTCATATTCATCATCTGATTCACATTCAAACCCAAATATTGATTGATCCATATATCACGCATCTCTCATCCTCTAAGGATATCAGGAATATATTGATTTCTTATCGTCCGAGCTTGATGAGCGTGAGTACCTAGTATGTATCTACGTGCCGTGCATACGTATCTACTAGGTACATACTTGAGACCAATACCTCTCAACCTCAACTCAAGAAATCAACTCTCCAAGACCTTCCTTTTGGGGGATTCGATGATATATTCAATATCTCTAAAATCTCCATCTATCAACAAAAGTTCAATAATATCCTTACTACCACCATACCTATCTATTCTACCATCTCCCCAGATCAATATTATATCCTCAGGTTGCATACAGTCACTCAATCTCAAGACCCTTCCCCTTCTACCCCACTATGCATTAGCCCCACCATACTACATCTCAAGGCTTATTAATCTATTCTTAAATGATTTTCGCTGCACGGGCCCAAGCTTGAACTTACACCTAGGGTTACTCTATTATCAGCATTATTTCCAAAACTGTATTAGAGAAAATCATAATCTACTTCATCACCAACATCGTTGCAATCAAGTGAACAAACCTCCACAAGCTCTCTGATCAGCCGGTCATGCTCGCTCATATCTTTCTTCTTTCAAAACATATCAATATATAGCATCCAGCACGATCCCAAGCCGACTTCAATTTGAGCTTCGAGGAGAAATATTGATACGTTTCCTGTGTACATTATCATGGGATTAAATCATTCTTTGGGTGGACGACATACTTTGATGTCGGCTAGATTTCATGGTTGCTCTGAGCTCTATGGTTGATGGTTGATGGAAGCTATCTCCTCCGATGAGGGTTGTGGAAAGATTGCCGGCCTGAATGCTGTCATTACGAATTTCACTTCGGATCTCTTACTTCCAAAGGAAATGGGCAAGGATTGATTTTTTTGATTCATATACAATGCAACTCGCGATCTTACATCTGATGGAGCAAATCAGTTACCTATGGGTCGTTTGGAAGCAGGCACATTGCACTGGGCAGTCAGCAGCTTTATCAGGCTTTACATGTCTTCAAAGTTTCGAGAATCGGTTCAGTGGTGCCGTCAACCTCTCCACCGAATTCCAAACTATGTATTGGACTTGATGCGGTCTTGTCATTCTTCAAGAACTTCAACATGAATTCGTTAAGCATCATCGTGTCAGTGGTAGATTTCGACGCTGGTGTACACGGTTCAGAGTAATCAGCTATTGAATTTGCTACCAGAGATTAAACACAGAGAATCCTCACTCCCAGCGAGGCATTCTGCTAACTTTGAACATGTTGTTTTCAAAAAAAATGTGTTCTGAGGCATGACCTGGGAGCTGGAATACAAGCTGCGTATGTATTGTCATGGAAGAAGTCGTATTCACTTTCATGATGTTCTTAAGAATTCTCCAGACGATTCATCACTGTGAGGCTTAGATCTTCCAGAATTCCAGATTTCTGTGTCATCACTCTTCTATGTACACAATTTTACGAGATCTTCTTGAGTGGTTGGTCTGGAACGATAGAAGCTAGCGAACAGCCCAATTTCTCGAAGGCCTCAACCATGTAAGTAGTCATGAAGTGGGATTTCCGTGGATACATTTGAGAATTAAACCTAGTTTGCTTTTCCAAACTTGCACACCGCGCACAATCATTCTCCACTTTTGCAAAGGACCTCAAAATATCGTGGAGAAAAATATTATCTTGCGAATCTTTTACCTCCTGAAGAGAACCTTGTTGTGAATTTGGGGAGTTTTTTCAATCTGTGGAATTCATAGCAGTTCTCACAGAAATCATGAAATAAACTCTTTTGCAGTTCTTGGTTTGATCCCGTTTTCAAAAAAAAAAAAAAAAAAAATCTGAAAGTTAGCTTCGCGTGGTTGAAATTTACAGAAACACTAATTCGTTCTTGATGTCGGAGTGTACCTCCATATTAATCAAAAAATCGATTCCTTCCCCGTTAGCACTTGGACACCAAGGTACGAATTCTGGGAGATTTAAGTGCTCCGAAAGCGATTTTTCCAGACGCTCTGCGTAGCTTCTATGAGCAGGTACAGTTTGGGACTTGAATTTTTGAAAATAGTGCTTTACCATCTGGAATTATTGTTGGAAATTCCCCGGATTCGTCGGAAAAATAACTCTTGTCATTTGATGAAGACTCGCAATTATTCCTACCCGATACTTTATGCATGTAATCTAACAACAACATAATATTCGTAAACGATTTGAAAATCTCTAGCGAAATATCAATACCATATTCCTTTTGAATCTCCACCCATACCTCGCTTGTCAATACATATTCTATCCCGAGATCTTGTAGACGTGATGTCTTCTCGATTTCTCAAGCTCATTCATGTACCCAGCAACACATCAAATACTCTCCTCACATCTTCAGGATTAACTAGGTACTTCCACCAGATGCTAAGTTAAATCCTCAATATACACTCCTTCCAATACGATCTCAGCTACTGTATACATGAATCCTATACCCAACCGTCTAGCTTTTATACTCATAATAATCTACTCTCAGCATGCAACACAACCTCATCATATGCCGCGTGAGAAATGATAATTGTTCAGGATAATTAACAACTCTGTTTACGTACGTACGTACTCACATATCTATCCCTCTTCTTCTCGTTCACGATCTGTTCAGGTGTGAAATGAAATTGGCGGAGTGTTTAGACTCTAGAGATGAGATTGATATTGATATTGATATTGATATCGCTGTTGACTATGAGGTTTTTGAGTGTGGGTATATTACTCGTCTGCGGAGTTGAAAATATGAGAGGGGGGGGTAAAGTTCGCGAGTGAGGTTGTGGATGGGGGTAGGTTAGGGTTTGGTGGGCTGGGAATCTTAGCTTGATATATGATATCTATATAAATAGATTAATAAGAATCTTAGCTTGATAATTTGTATGTAGTATATATGTAGGTAGGTACTGACAGCTTTCTCGCTTGGAGGAACGAGGAACTAGGAACTAGGAATCTTAGCTTAGCTTGATGATTGAATAGAGTAAGGATCTTAATTTTGATTTCATCTACAAAAACACCGCGCTAACTCTTCGTTTTTCATTCTATAGATATACTATTCATAGTAATAGATGCTCTAGTAAAAGATTACCCTCAATCACAACCGATTTGAAAAAAATGTAATCTTATTAGGAGAAGAAGAACACTACGTTACCTAGTATCTTGAATAAATATACATAAGTAAGATTACAAGTACTGCACATCAAAACCCACTCCTAAAAAACACAAGATGTGAGTTTCTTCAAACTGTAAGCTTTATAAGTAAGTCTTACAAACTACACTGTATACTGTATACTATTCCTCCTCAGATTTTTTTTTTTTTTTTTCACAAATCTCAATCTAAAGTAAGCTCTAGGTTATAATATTCTTCCTACTTTGATGATTTCGTTAGTATATATCTCTGTTTATCTGTTTCTCTCTTGATATGTTTGCTATTGTAATTGGTGGTGAGATGCGATATGCGATATGCGATATGTTGTTTATTTTTTGGGATGTAACCTTGGTTTATTATCAGAGAACTATAGTATTCCTGGATAGGTGGGTAGGTGAGATTTCTTTAGATGGGATGGGGGGAGGTGTATTTTCTGGATATGTTGGGGCTGGATTTGGGGATGGTGTGGTGTGGTGTGTCTTGTGTCTTGTGTCTTGTGTCTTGTGTTGTTTCTGTTTCTGGTTTGTTGCGAGAAATTTGTGAGAGATTGGACATGATTTACAGAAGATGATGTGGGAAATACCATGGGGAAATGATTTTGAATGATCGGTAGAGGGTTTGGGAGATGCTCATAAGCATCTTGAAAAAGAATCTAACTCGTGCATCTTGAATTGGGGAATTGAAGATAGAGTGAGAACAATATATATTGTTTGAAGTAGACTGTGGTGACAGTAGGATAGGACAGGATGGGATAGGATGGGGCAGAGATATTGTTGTCAAGAGTTGAAGAGGAAAACTTTCGATGCTTGCAGATCATGAACCTTCATGACTTTCATCATCATCATTCCCAATGTCACTTCTCAACTATAGCTAGAGATTACACATCATCATCCTCACTCTCATCCACAACTTCATATCCCACCAGCGAATACTATCGAGTCTCGATCCTCCCAATTTTCTAACAAAGATCCAAGATCCACATCTAGATACCTCCGCTCTGATTTCTCATGAATGAGATCTTTTCATCGCGTTTCCAATCATCCCGCGACTACGACTTCTCAGTAAGTAATAGCAGCATAAATCCCTCAACCAGTATTACTATAGAAATCCCTACAATCCCCAAACTCACAACAAAATCCAGAACCACCAAACCCGCCTCGAAATATTCTCGTTCGCGAGCTTCGTGAAAAAAATCAAGAGAGATAAGATCGAGATAGAAACTTAAATACAGAAATGATGAATGCCAGCTAGCTTATAGGAAAATTAACAATTTTCTGACTGATGAATCACTTCATGTCTATATCTCTCCTTCGTCTTCGTCTTTGTCTTCATCTCATTTTATTCGATATTTCAATATTTCGATCTTTCGATACGGGAAGAAGATCTAGAAGCACGACTGAAATTGTAACATCAGTTAATTCAAACACTAGATGAGATACACTTATTACATCAGTATTCATTACTTCAAGTTTATTACAATACTACCAGCATTCCACAAGAAATGAAGTGAAAAGAATCCGCAAGGTCGCCTTCACCATGTTGCGTATGAGGTACCTAGGTAAAAAGAGTAAACCCCCAATCCGAGTTCATCAACCCCCCTCTCGCTTAACCCAACATCAACCCCACAATACCCAGACCCAGAGACTCTCATACTAAAAACAAGTGTCCCGCCCCTTTGTCAAAAAAAAAAAATATTCCGCTCCGCTAGCACCAAAAAACCAGAAAAAAAAATAGACTCACTCTCTCCCTCTCCGTATACAAATCCGTAACTCCGATTACTCCCTCTTATATTAATAAATTTTCTACACTTACTATTAATAAATAACAAAGTTATATATATCTATCTACTATCTATTAAATTAATTAGAAGTATTCATTAAGAAGACATAAATTGAATTTTTTATTTTCTTATATAGATATTTTTCTATATTATTATATACTGATGTATCTATCTATCTAATTATCTAGATACGTAAGTATATTCAGATTCGATAAATATACCTATCTACCTACTATATATTTATATATTTATATATTTACATTCCTCATCCCGTCACCCTATCATCTCTATTATATCTCCATCTCGCCATTCCTTTTCTCACCTCACCTCTCCACCAATAAATAAAACACAAAAACAAAAACGAAAAACTCAATCCTATTCAAACAACACTACAGTCCCTCCCTCCCCCTTGAAATCCTACCACAAAAATCCACCACAAAAATCCACAAAAATCCACAAAAATCCACAAAAATCCACAAAAATCCAAACCCCAAAAAAACTTGAGCTCCCTAGCCGGTTCGAACGACTGACCTGACGATAATAGCGCGACATCAGAAACACCACTGCAATCGTCCGCTCTACCACTGAGCTAAGGAAGCGATTTTAATTCTTGGCGTTTTCAGAAATATTTAATAGGATATACCATGTGAGTGTGTGAGTGTATTGGAGCACACTAGACTGGGTAGGTAGTTACTGGGGAGCTGGGTTAGGTAGGTATTTTATTATTTATATGTAGGTATCTGATTCTATATCATCCCATCCCATCCTTTCCTTTGCTTTCCTTTTCTACTCTCCAATCCCAAAGCCCATCTCATTCAATCAATCATCCATTCATTCATCCATTCATTCATCCATTCATTCATCCATTCATTCATCCATTTATTCATCTATTCATTCATCCATGCATTCCCACCCAAACCCCCAAAACCGCACTTCCTCCCACCCACACCACATCACCCACATCACATCACCCCCATCACAAAAATCTCCAAACCCAAGAATCCCTCCTCCCCCTCCCCCTCCCCCTCCCCCTTCCCCTTCCCCTTCCCCTTCCCCTTCCCCTTCCCCATCTCTACAACAATTACTCCACTCCCCGATTAAACACACCTAGATACCTAGATACCTCGTACATTTCATTTCATTTCATTTAGCCAT